CGCCGTGTGGGCCCGAAACATAGAAAAGCCACAGTGGGTCAGACATGCAGGCCGGCCTGCAGAACATCCTGGCAACCAGTGTTGCCACTGTGTGCCGAGAGGAGGGGCTCCAGTGGCTGAGTGGCCCCTCTCCTGCTCAGAGACCTTCGGGGAATCCCTCAATCCAATATTCCCCACCAGGGCGGACAGACTAGGCAGGGCCCAGGGACTCTCTGCGGTGACAGAAACGTTCCAGACAGCAATGGGCACTGGGGTCATAGTGGTTGAGTGAGCCTGTCAGAACTGCAGAGCTGGAGGGGGCTTCTCCTACACGGAAACCAGACCTTCATGAAAATACACGCAGACTGAGGTCTCCTTCCTGGGCTAAGTTCTGGATGCTTCTTTGCTAACCTGCCATCTAACACGACCAACCTTCTGTCACGGTTCTGCTGTGACTCAGAGAGGTTTTCTGAGGACACTGGACTTTCTGTTTTAAACCCTGGGATCATGGGACTTTCAGTCAGAACTGAGTAAGGCCCACACAGACAGGGATGACCAGGCTACCTCAAGAGCGTCTTGGATCCCACTGCTGTGTCTGTCTTCTGGAAGGTATAGGTCCACACCACCGGGTAAGGCGGCCGGGTGCACCTGACCGATTGCTCACCTGTACCTGAGAGGCAGCGGCTCAGCGTGTGGTATAGAAGGTACCGACAACACAGCAATGGCTCAGTTTTCACTCATGTGCATTTCAATGCTCCGTAGGATAAAGAGCCTGCAAGCGCACACCCTCTCCTCCATGCCCACAGCGCTCCACCCTCACAGTCTGCCCTAGGATGCCAGGCTTCCACCTACGACGGCAGCGACAAGAGTTCCAAAACCAGGGATCTCTGGTGGGGTAACAGTGCGACACCCACCCCTGGGACAAACAGGTCTGAGGAGATGAGACACATAACCAGGTGGCCCAGCACCCAGGAAGCAACAGCTCACAGGAGCTGGCATCTCCACGGTGACGCTGTGTCCTACCCCAGGGAGTCTGCAACGAGACGCGAGCACTTACCCACTACTCGGGCGCTCCCCGCCTCGCCGCCGGGCGCAACATGAGAACATCAGTATCCGGAACACGTCAGTGAAGGCGCTGCCGTCGGGAGGCTTGGAGATGAAAATGCCCTGGCCACACAGGAAGACCACGAAGGCCACGCCGATACAGATAGTGGGGATCAGGTAGCCGGCCACGAAGCCCACGTTCTGCTGAATGTAGGCAATGCCTCCCAGCGAGAGGATTGCGCCCAAGTTAATGCTCCAGTAGAACCAGTTAAAAAACCTTCTCGTGGCTTCTGGACCCCGATCTTTAACCTGAAATGGGAAGAAGACGTGGGTGGTCTTCAAGGGTGAAAACCCCACACAAAGCAGTAATCGAAGCTGCTCTGGTCTGCACAGCCCGAGTGTGACAAGACCCTGGTGGTGGTTACTGCGCCCCAGGGACTCTCGCCCAGAAGCTCCGCACACTTAGCTGTTCCAGACGCTGGGCAGGGCTCCTCTTACTTATGCCGAACTCCAAAAAGTCTGAGAGGCTTCGAAAGCATGTGATCACCTGCCTTGGAATGATCCAGAATGCTCCTTAAAAGCAGATTCACAGGCCCCAGAGTCCAGACCTACCCAACTGTCATCTGTGGGGTCGAGACCCGGGGAGCTGCATTTTGAGCAACTTTCCAGGTAACTTCTAATCGCAGGAAGGTTCCAGAACCACTGTCCTGAGAGTCCATACCTTCCTATGCTAACCACGAATGTCAGGAGGGGCTGGCAGCTGTGCTCAGGCCTCAGAGGCTGGGACCCACACCTGCTGTGTCTGGTCTCCTGAGAAGCAGAGGTCTTCTTTTTTAATTTCCTGAGAGACAAAGGAACAGAGGGGATGGGGCAGGAGGGAGAAGATAGCCCCAAAAGAGCATAAGAGCATGGTCACGCCATGATTCCTTATCTGTTTCTCCATCTTGTCAGGATCTGGGGGACACACCCAAACCCACACCAATACATACACACACACACACCCTGCATGTTTTTCAAGCTGTTGGGGCCAGGATTTGAACTGCAGTTGACCATGTGAGATCTGACTTCCTAAGCCACTGAGCTACAGGCCAGCTGAATCAAAGACCCAGATACCTGGAGCGAAGAGGAGCTCGCATTTCACTAGTAGGTTAGAAAGGCTACCAGCATCAGGAGCGATTCTGAAAAGGGCAGGGACTCCTGCAAGGCCCGAGACCACTGAGTCCTGGACGCCAACTCCGCAGGCACCAAGCCAACACAGCCCTAGGCTTGGCCTGCACCCTCCACGAGACCACCCTGCGGAGCCCAGGAGGTTGGTGACAAAGAACACTGGGGACAGGACAATCAGGAGACTTCTCCCACTCGGATGTGCGCGTCTGAACTGATGCCGCGGGACTGGGCCTGTGTGCTAGCCAGAGACGTGCCCAGGGTTTTCTTGGATACATCTTTTAATACACTGACCAGCTTCAACGGCTGAAGCGCAAACCAAGACTGTCTAGCCTTGCCATCTTCAGACGGTGTACTGCCTCACCCTCACAGGTTATGTGAAGTTTAGAAAGCTGTGTCAGTAACGGATCTGGTTTCTGTCCCACAGAGACATCTCCACTGCTGAGTAACAAGTTAACGGAGGTGGGACCACCAGTCAAGACGTGCAGTAAGTGTCTCAGTCATCCTACTTGACACTGTTTTATCTTGGAGAGATTCTTGCTACAGGGCACATGTGCTCCCCAGAGACAGAGAGACAGAAGTGAGAAATCACCCACGGGGGATGGCCACAACGCAGTCCCTTCTCTCAGGATTTGGGGCATGCATGCACACACACCTGGTTTGAGTGTAAAGTCGCCGGGTCTAGGACTCAAACCATGGTCACCTATGTGGGAGTCCAGCAACATAACCATTATGCCATCTTCTGGTTCCTTGACACATATCCTAAGTACTTTTTTAAAAAAAGGTTTTTGCCATAGGGCGCATGTGCTCACTAGAGAGACACAGAGAGATGGTGAGAGGGA